TTAAGTATCTATCCCGCTTTTTCCCCTTGGCCAATTTCTATTCAGCCTGCACATCCTAACTCAAGAGAGTTTTTCCTCTGGGATGCCTTTCCTGACTGCCCCAGCCAGATGAAGAATTTCTTTCTCCACACTTCCTTAGCAGCTAGCTCATACCTAGCTTCACAATACGCACCACCATGTTTATTGTTTTTCTGTTTTTGTTTTTCTGTGAGTCACCCTGCATGAACTTCTTGAGGGAGGCCTGACTGTCTCGGCCTTTTTTTCCTACCAATGCCTCACAGAGTGTCTGTTCTATAATAGCCATTCAATATATGTTTGCAGAATAAATGAATGAATGAATGAATGAATACATCTATTATATTCTTTCCAAATTCATTTCCAGGCTGAATACTTTAGAGTTTTTGTTGGTATAGTTAAAGAATAATGCTCATTTCTAAATACATGATTCTGATTTTCTGCCAAAATCTTACCCCTTTGGGAAATTTACTTCAGCATGTTCCTGGCATCAGCCTTATTTAATCCTCTAAAAAACGAACTAAAATCCTCCTTGCTGCTTTTTTCTTCCTTCTTCCTCTCATCATACAATGGCCTACCTTTTCCTCCTCGGCTTGTGATTCAGTTTGCAAGTAAATTTTCAGAGGCAGAAGAAAAGAAACTGCTCCTTCATTCCTTTTGCTAAGCTTCTGTGTGTCTCCTACTCTGATTCTAACGTGAGCTTCCTTAATCTTTGGTGATACTTTTCCTCCCGTGTGTTTGCTTTATTCTGTTAATTCACGGGAGCCTTTCTAAAACTGCCTTTATTCGCCTGAGAAGAAAAACAAACAGTGAAAATTGACTCTTTGGCTAGCAATTCTCATTATTATTATTACATAATCAGTGATTTGAATCATTAATGCAGGAGACCAGGCATGCATGTGGAAGAACAGCCTTCCTGGTCATATGCCCACAGGCATGTCAGTAGTAACTCGAGTGTCATCTAATTACAGATGCTAAAAGGAACTTGTCCTCCACCATCATCACCATCATCATCACCTTCATCATTGAAACCTATACCACATTGCGTGAAGTCTGCACAAAACCACACCTACCATTCCAAATACCTAACAGCACTCCTTTGAATCTTCTTAGCAATTTTTTTTTAAATTTTTTTTAACATCTTTATTGGGGTACAATTGCTTTACAATGGTGTGTTAGTTTCTGCTTTATAACAAAGTGAATCAGTTATACATATACATATGTTCCCATATGTCCTCCCTCTTGCGTCTCCCTCCCTCCCACTGTCCCTATCCCACCCCTCCAGGCTGTCACAAAGCACTGAGCCAATATCCCTGTGCCATGCGGCTGCTTCCCACCAGCTATCTAC